GGTACTAGCAAGTTGTACCTAATAAAGTGGCCCGTGAGAGTATTTAGTCCAACATGTTCAACTAATTGTGGATCCCTTAAATGTTTTCTATGGCAGTAGTGGTATTCATTTACCAGTAGCTTGACAGGAAGAGGGGAGAGAGAACGAGAAGACGTGCAGCACATGGTCCCAGGCTGGGAATCAAACTGGCCACAGCAGCATCTATATGTGGTGCCATCCTGAGTCATGTGGTAGCCAAGAACAGACACTTTGATTTTAAAGTTTTTATCAGCTCTAATGACCTTTATTTGAGGGTGGTCAAACAGGAAAGGTTATGAGAGAGGAAGGAAAGATATGGAAAAGGTCAACAGGCTGGGACTCAAACCTGTGACTGGGGGCCTCTGTATGAGGGGTCACGCGCTCTGCCACACTGCCCTTGCAGTGCCCCAGAACAGACACTTTAAAATGGGAGTCTAGACTCAGAGCAGAAAAAAAAGCAGCAACCATTTATACTTCTCAGTAATTATGACTCTATTCTGAATTACAGAATAGAAGGTAATTATTTGTTACTGGGATGCATTATAAATTATGTTGGTTACAATGTGGTTGGTTGTAAATTTATTATGTATTTTTAATTAATATTCATGCTTTTAATGCCTGACTTATTTTCTTAATTAGCTGAGAACATTAAGGTCTGCAGAGCATTATTACAATAAGTGCATCACACTCATACATGCAGTGGCAGAGTATAAGTGCTTTTTACTGACATAAACTCACTCTGATGGATACTTGGTTGGCTCATAAGCATACTTTTAGAATCAAGATCTCTGCAAAATCTTAAACAACTTACAATGATAGCAACTGTTTTACCCCAGTTCCTGTTTAGAAACAGTGACATTCCAACAGATTTAATCTGCAACTCTGAACAGAAATGATGAAAGAGGAGTAAAAGGAAGCAGACTTTGTCATCAAATACAAGCAGTGGTTGATGTGGCTTATTTCTGCAAACATGGACTGTGCTCTGTATGCCAAGCTGAAGTCCTTTCTAAAATTAGTGAAACTATTAAATGTGATGATTTGTGTTGTGAAAATGATGAGGAAGATGAAGATGTAACTTTAAAATAAAAAGAGGAGTATCATTATCAAGTTAAATCAAGAGCAAGATTCTTTTGGTGAGTGGAATCCAATTCAGTTCACCAAAACGATAAATAAAGTGAAGTCTGAAGTGCTAAGGTTTTATAAAGCAATGCTCATTTCTCTCATTGAAGAGATAGACATCAACAAAGAAAAGCTACTAGGATCAACAAGATAGGCGGAAAGAAAGTTCAGAACTATCTAGTTGAAAATAAAAAAAATAGTAGAAGAGTCAAAGGTGGAGTTTAAAGATTTCTGTTGAAGAAATTCAAGAAAATGTAAGTGGAGGTGAAGTGAAAGAAATCAAATGGTTAAAAACAACAAGTAATGGAGAAATATATGATAGTCTTTCGGCCTAGATAAAATTCCAGGGAGAATGTTTACGGAGTAAAGTATTCACTGGAAATATGAGTTATAATGTTAAACATTTGAGATGCTTCAAATGTCAGACATTTTGATATCTAGCAGCAATTTGCAAAGGAAAGCAATGATGTGGAAGGTGTGCTGGTGAATATGTGAAATGTGAAAGGGCAGCTAAAGATGAAAGGCTGTAACTGTGGAGGAGAACACACTGCTGCTTGTTGTGGGTGTGAAGTTAGTAAAAGAGAACAGGCAATCCAAAGAGTGACACTTGCACAAGAGATTATTTATGCTGAAGCTGGAAAAATACAAATCAATGAGGAAGGCTGAATCTAACAGGAACATCAAATGTAAGCCCAAAGGCTTGTGATGGATGCTCTAAAATTGCTAATGTTTCATTGATAGTAAACAAAAAAGATTTTGTGCTATTTTTGGTGAAAGTGATTCATTGTCAGCTCAGGCAGTAAAGCAAAGCAAAAAATCTAAATTACAGTGAGGACTGTATAAAAGCATGTTGGTGTTAAAGAGCTGGATAGGAAGCTATTGAAAGGTCAGGGGGTAACACATACTCAGCAGTTCTGCCTGGACAAAAGAATATTTCAGTGGAACGTTAGAAGCGTCATCTTGATTGGGCAAGGTTTTAATTATTGCATTTCAGAATTACTATATAAACCTCAGGTTACTTAGAAACTTGGTTAAAACTAGAGCTATATAGAGGTAATGGAAGAGGTGAAGGAATGAGGATATTTATACAAAACGATATATTTTGTAGCGTAGTTAATATGAAAATAGCATTTATATATAAATATAAACAGATATGGATGAAACAATAAATATAATGCATATAAAGACTTAAAGAGGTAGCATAATGATGATTATAGCACAATCAAGTAACTATGCTAACTATCAGTGAATCCAAACTCATCCAAAGAACAGAGACACGATTCAGATTTTAGAACTTTATATAGTAATAATAAAAATGAAAACAGTAACAGATGGAAGAAGCATGGTCGGGGTTCCCTGCTACAGAGCTTGCCAACACAATAATACTGATAGAGATAGCAACACATTATGCTGTGCAGGCAGACAAACATGGGAGCAAGACAACACACACTGGAGTACACACCTGGAATTAAGATATTTTCATCATGCGATATTAATAATAATAATACCAGCTGGTTTTACAAACATGGGGCATCATTACAAATCATTATCAAGTCTATTGCAAATACAGACATTTCTAAACAAATACAGATTTATTGCATCTTCAATAATACTTCATATAAGACTATATGCAAGGCATCCCGTGAAAAAGAAATCTTCTCCAGCCTACATGTGCTACAGGTAGGAACTAGCTGATTGTCCTTTTGTTATTTTAATGGCTTCTCATTCTTCATATCTACAGAGACAGTTCATTCCCTTCAGAGATAGTAGCACCAACAAAGGGACAGGAAGTCCAGTCTTTATATGGTCATGGACCATTCACCTGGTGATAGAAACAAGGAGACTCTTTTGTTTGTGATGGTGCTCATCAAATATAAAACAGTCTTTAGATACAACCAGAATTCACTGATGTACCTTCACACATTCAGAATGCAGTTCTTGTTTTTAAACTTTATGAGCCCCACATCAGATGAGGCGTTTGCTAAAAGCTCAAAGTCACCATGGAAAAACTCTCGCTTTATCAGGTGGCCTGCATTCTTCATCAGTTTAGATTAGTATGGAACAACAGCAGTGCCACAAAAAAAAAGATAAAATATGAGGAAATACACTCTGTAAATAAATTAATGTGTAAATAAAAGTAAAAAAAAAAAAAACAATTAAAGAAGGAAATACCTATAAGGGCAAAAGGAAGACATAAGAGAAAATTGAAGACTGTGAAAATATATATATTTACTACTGTGTAAAACAAGCATAGATACACAACTATGAAGAATGGTGCAACTTGAATGTGAATTTATTAGCCCCAGGAACAGGTATTTCAATGATTTAATACGAGGAGAGCTCTAGAAGAGCAACATAAGGTATTACTCACAAGCTAACCAATAAGTGCCACAAGCAATATGGCTGACATGCTTCATAAAAGCAGAGCGATGTTATTACAACTACCAGCTTCCTTTGTCTGTCGAGCTCCAGAAACTCCAGCAAGAGCCTGTAATACAACACTGCACTCATGCTACGCTTATTGCATTGGCTCCTTGAAAATTAAATCATTTACAAAATCATTCTGAGTTCCAAGAAATCCTCTGGAAACTTGACAACGACATTTCTTTCGTCTGTCAGTACAGTTTTTCTTATCATTTCACAGGAATGAATACATTTATTTTGCTGTTTCAAATTATTTTAATTTTAGTTCATTTTCAAATGAGCTAAAAAATTTTTTTTTTGTAAAATTGTTTTTATTTTTTATTTTTCTACATCTTGAGCTCATAATGTTTTTTTTAAACGTCGTTGGTCTTTGTTTTTATCATTTGTTTTCTACTGTTCTTTCCTTTTTCCTGCAGCCCTTTTATTGATCTGAACAGAAAGGTTTATGTGAGCTCAGAAAGGAAAGATAAGACAGTAAACTAAAAGGAGGTAGATCAGGAAACACTGAAAACCTAAAATGTAAAATTGGAAGCTAAAATAAAAACAATTAAAAATATATGAAAAGAATATTCCAACTACATTAAAATAAAAATAAGATGTTTCTTAATACAACTAATAGTTGACATTAAATCAAGTTTAACACATTTTTCTGTATCTACATCTATTGATTCTATTTATTGCTACTTGCATATTTCATATTTGTGTCAGTGACATGCGGTCAGGGAAGGCAAGTGAGGCAGAGCCTCACCTGTCGTAATGGAAAAATAGAATGAAAATAATAATAAATAAAAATAAAAATAATTTATATTGCTATTTTCACCCTGTGGTTTGTACTGTAAAGTATTTATTTTCCATTTAGCTTAACCAATTTTGATTATTTTTTTCTTCAAAATCACTGTATTTTCGCATTTTCCCATTCCCATCCCATGCTAGGATGCAAAGCTGGTGAGGAAGCAGGAAGCTGAGCCTCACCTTGGATTGCGCAACCTCTCGCTAACTGCGCTGGCTGCCACTCAATGAGAGCATGTTCTTCCTGTCTGTACCTCACCAATGAAATGGTTAAAAAACATATATAAACTGATTTTCATATTTTAGCTTATGTATATAATGTACAGTGGTTTTTGTCACCAACTGTGTGTGTAATGTGTTTTGTGTGCTGAGGAGCGATCAGAAACAGCAAAGAACAGACTCGAGGTGAGGCAGGCAGTTCTCTTGCCTGATGGCAGGGGGCGCTCATGATCTCAGACATCGTGACTCCACAACTGCAGAGTAAGAGACAGTAACAGTGAGCTAGCCATGGAGCTAGCCATCCAGTCAAGTGCTGTGATATATTTATAGTTTTCTCTTCGTACCACAGCAATCACTTATTAATAATCGCAAAATAAAGATTAAGCCTAAAACCATACCACTGCAACAGACTGAATGTTCTGCTCTTTGTGTGGGAAATATTTCAGTATTTTTTTTTAGGGGCGTTATTGTCAGTTGCTATGGCAATGAGTGTGTGTATAGCCTGGCCAATACAGAGAGCGAGAAAGATGTGATTTTGAGTTGTACTTGAATGGCTTTTGCCTTTGCTGTGGAGCATAATATGAATAATACCTATATTTCCAAGTTTCATTGAATTAACGGAATTATTCTACCGCAGCAGCGCGGCTATGGATAGCATGTAAAATAATAGTCTTTTTGCCCTCCAGCGTTGTCCACATGCATGAAATTTCCTTATGTAAACAATAACAAGCAGATGGTCTACATTTGTATATCTGATTATGATTAAGTCAGTGCCTCACCAGCTTTGCACCTCACCGCATGTCACTGATTTGTGTGTATATGCTCCCTATATTTTGTGGCACTTTAGGCATTCCATAATTTTAGGGCACTTTTGTTTGATCAGAAATTGGGTCTGATTTTAAAGGCTGGATCCGTTTGCTGGACCTGACCCGGTCCATAACACTGCTGAGGTTCAAACACTGGGTCCACACAGACGTCACATGCAAGTGCGCTGTACATGTGGTCAACACTGAGGCTTCATCACACACTTGTTGGTCTGACACACACCTCTTCAATCACCACCAGTCACTGGGTGTGTGTTTATGTAAATACATTTGTCAGAAAGATGTGCTGCCAGATGAGGTCACTTTTCCTCTATGTGTCGTGGATCCACGACCAGACACACACACACACACACACATGCACGCAAAAAGTGTCATCAACCTTAACACCTTTCAAAGAGTCTGTTCCTGACATAACACTGTTGATATAAAACTAGGTATTTCTTAAAGGTCAAGTACACGGACACACACACGCATTCACACACACACACACCCGCACACACACACACACACACACCCTCCACTGAGGGGGAAACCCAGTGAGTAGTGAGTAACTCATCAATTAATAATACTTTATAGATAGTCTATAATAAGAACTTTTTCCCCAGCTTGATTGTTTAAGACGCAGCAGTCAATGGGATTGATTGTCAGAATGGCCTCCTTGTCCTTTTCCTTGGCAACCCAAACAGTCTCAGAAACAGGGCACTTTGGGGAAAAAGAAACAGGAGGAAGGGAGGAAGAATCGGCACTTAAAGCTACTGGAGTCTAGGAGCCGCCATGATGATGAGAACCAGGCAGAAGCAGAGGATCATGGGTACAGGTGCTGGCAGAGAGCCCCCAGAGTGGATGGACGAGGTCTTGATCTCAGAGCTGAGGAAGGCGGACAGCGGAACATGGGACACCAGAGTGGGGCTAGCGTAGTTGATGAGAGAATCGATCTTTTCGGCCTCCTTACTGCAGGCCTCCACCTGAAAAACACAAGAGTTTTGTTGGGAGTCAGCACTGCACGATTTTTTAACTTTAACTATTAATGTATTAATGTATTTTCACATGTCTTTAAAAACACAGGGAGTTAGTAAAAAATGATTTACAGTAGGTTTGTGTGAAAAATGTTTTTCTTTTTAACCTTAAAAAGTAAGGTTATTTATTATTATTTTATTTTTGCAAAAATGCTTTTTAAATGTTGCCACAAAAATAAGAAAGCTTTATGGGTTGAGCAGGATGGTGGAGAGTGGAGCCGTAAAAACATTCTCTAACCTCAGCTTTTTGTCATCTGAAAACAATATAAGACAGTATTAAAATATTCATTTCCCTGCAAGCATTTCATTCTTTCTCCCAGAAGGTTTGTAAATGAATTTAATTATTTATTTAATAAAGTATTTTTGAATTACAATTTAATTGAATTATATCCAGTCTTCTGCACACTCGCTTACCTGATAATAGACATTTACTTAAATAATTTTTTTCAGGTGTATATTGCTTTTGGATAATTAATATTTTCTTCAATTTTTGTAAGGTGCTTTGTTGACCAATTTTTACTTGTAATTTAGTGGTAGTAGCTTTGATTGTTAAATAAAATACAGTATTTTCATACTGCAAATAAAGTTATTTAATTTTAAAATTATGGTTCTAGTTTATTCCTTTGATCTCCAAACCAACCTGACTGCCATCCAAGTTTTCATCTATCCAAAGTCAACAGAATATATTCGTTACACACAAGACGACTGATCTACTTCAGTGTATTACAGGACTGTCTTAATTCTGTGAATACAGAAATTATAATCTTAATAGTGGCTTTGCTGCAATTGTATGATATTTACATCTGCAAAGCTAATATGAAAGCAGCGGCTCATATTTACACCCAGCTTTATCTTAAAAAGAAAAAATTAAAACTGCCTAACCTCTTCAACCGGCATGCTAACGGTGGCTAATGGTTAGCCTGCTGACAGGTAACAGTTGCAGGCTAAACATCTACTACACAGTGTTAATAGTTGATAACGTTCATCCCAACAGCATGCTACCATCACCTTACTGGTAGCTAACATTTATGTTAATGAAAAAACAGAGATAATAAAATAAAAACTGTTGATAGGGTGACTTTGAATGGCTCATTAATCTTGGGTGTGTTGAGAAAATAAATTTAAAATAAGCTAGTTTTAAAACTTAACATGTCTTGACTCAAATGCCCTAATTGTGGTTTTGAAATTAGTAATGTATTCTGACTTTTTGACCTTTAATTTACCTGTAGTTCCAGCAGATGGTTTGCTAGGATCATTTGAACTGCCTTTTGTCTGTGGGAAAACAATACAGTGGAAGTTCTAGCTTTTCACACTCATCTGTGAAAGGCCGTAAACACGGCAGGGGTTTTAGGCTTCAGATAGAGGGTCAGAGATAGCTCCTGGTTGGATGAGCAAAGATACGCCTTATTTGAATAAATTAAAGATAGGAATACGCCTTTTACTATAAAACTTTCTACACAGAAGTAACACATTAGATTTGCTCTTGCAACTCTCCAAAGATGTCTTTGCACGTCTTTGCTTTCTTTCCTTCTTTCCCAAGTCTGTGAGGTAAATGAATGTATGTCTCCGTTGTTCTGCAGTTTCTGGTGTAAGTTTGTGCATTGTCTTACTTTTAAGTTTATGCATTGTCTTATATTGGATTAAATTCTGTAATTCTGTGACGTCAACACGCATTGTTGTTTTCCTTGTGGCTACACGTGGCCTGCCGAGAGGACCTGGGATCTAAGGAAGAGAGAGAGAGCCAAACTTTTACCAAAGTTAACTATTTTAGAAATTCTTCCTTAACAGGTGCCACATATTGCTATGACATGCAGCTGAATGTCTCAAACATCAGATGCTGGTTGATCACTTAAAACTAGAAGAGGCTCTTCTCATCGTCATCACTGGTTCACAGAGCAATTTCCACAATTCATCCACTGATATCTTGGCTGCTTAGCATTTGAAAGCAGCCATTTGGCATGTTGCAGCAGCTGGAACATCAGAGAGCAACTGGACATGATCTGAGCTCCACTTTCACACATTCACTTTATTCCCACCATGCTGGATTTTGCAGAACGATTTTTTGTTTGAACGCTCCACCCTGAAATACAACAATTGCAAAATAAATTTTTAAAAGAGCCTTATATTCTAACCCCCTAATAATGACTTAAATATCATTTTAAAAGTTTCTGTTTTATATCACAGAAAGCTTTGGAATTGCTTTTGAGTGTTTATGCTTTTCTTTATAACGACTCCATTAGCTGCCAGGCCCAAAGCAGTCAGCTTCTTTCTCACAGAAACAACCCACACTGAGTTCGCAGACAGTCCTTGGCATTAGAGTCAAGCTGCCATTATACACCATCCATATAAAAGCATGTACATCAGGACGCGACTAAGAAAATTCACTCAGAGCAGGTGAAACCATTTCCTGTGCTCTGCCACTGAGTAGTGCTTCTGAATCACTAAAAGCTTTAATCATCTGGAACATTTTGTCCAAAGTTTGCCTGTAAAATGAACAGCATTCAAACATAATTTGAAATGTACAAAGCACATCAGTATAGGAATGTTTATCAAATAATTAAAACTAGCAAATGAGGCTGTTGCTTGGCAACAGGCAAAACTAAAAGCCGAGCTGCAGAGGATTGTCTTAACTGTAGAGTTAAAACTGTTCATGGGCATCAACTTTAAATGCTAACATTTTTTCCTAGGTTTCTCATCCTTTCTGTGCTGAGCCTTTGTGTGTGTGAAATCCTACTGCTCAAACTGCATCTTACAGCATTCATTGTACTGGACACCACGTTTACTGACATGGTGAAGGTGATAAATGTATCAGGCTTCAGATATTCTGGGTCTTTCCTCAGAACAAAGGCCTGATATGAGGCACAGATACACATGGGTAAGTTGTCTTCTAAACTGGAAGGAAGACTTTCAAAACCTGGATTAACTGGGGGGTGTTAATAATTTCATGCATAGTTCAACATAAACAATTATGACATGATTCAGATAAAAAATAAAACTAAGATCCCTGGAAAGCACAAAAACATTTCATTTTTGATGCCACTGCATAATTGAAAGTCTGACAAAAATGTGAAAGTTTTACTCTATTCTTAGGAAAGCTAACATTGAGCTAGCAGCTAAGACTGATCCTGATTGGTCCAGCCAGCAGGGACAAACAGCACAACTGCTCCCAGACACAGATGTTGCTTAGTTGGATGGAACAAGATCAAACAAACAATTTCTGTTATGAAATTGAACATTAATATCCACTAATACAGCATTGTATACCATTGTTATGTACATTTTACAACTGTAAGAATTTATTTGAATTTGAACAAAGATATAGGATGCCTTTCTACCACAGACCGAGAGTTTGTATTAGATCTACACTGTGATGGACTCCTGATCCGTCCAGGGTGACCCCGCCTCTCGCCTGTTGACAGTTGGAGATAGGTGCTCATCTCACTGGGATATGTGTGCTAGATGAGTGTGTAACTGTTATTGTTATGCTCACAGAACTTCACTTCAGAATACCCAAAATAATTCTTCAGATGTATGTTTGTGCATCACTCAGAAAATACTAAGGGCATTTATAGAAACATTCATAGCTTTCTATTTTTTTCATTGTATTTTTCCTAGATTGGACATTCTCTTCATAAGTCAAATGTATTGATACTGAAATAAATGGATTCCTGAGAACAACTAGCTGTGCCTATAAATGATTTTTAAAGACCCCAGCGGGCCTTCTTTTTTTTTTTTTTTAGCTTGGCATCATCAACTTTAACTTGCATTAATAGAGGCCTGTTAGTTTTCCACTGTTATGGAAAGGAGATTATGCAGAATTTAAATGTTAACAGTGCTGCAGTCAGTGTTTTCTAATAATTGCAGAGCACATATTTACCAAGCAAAAGACCAAAAATCTGAATAAAAATAGAGTTGCAGCTGAAAACAGCAATATGCTATTAGTACTTATTAGCAAATGCCACTGGTCATGAATTTATTATTGTTTCACTAATCTCAGTGAAACACTGAGATTGTAATTGTAAGTTTTTTTTTTTTTCTTTTAGGATTAAAAAGCTTCCTATAGAACAATTCTTTGTTCCAAGTAGAAAAGCAGAAGTGATATCTGGCTGTGAGAACATGAGAAAGAATTCAATCATATTCAGATAAAGATTGAACTCGAAAGACAATGGAAGTAGACTTGTTGGGGATGATTCTAAATATAACTTTAACCCAGGATCACAGGTATATTTTGTGATTTATTTGCTGTGGTTTGAAAATCTTCAAACTTGACTTTAACAGCCATGAAAACCACTTACTCATGACGAGCAAAGAATGGCAAAGAAATGGAGAAGAGGTAAAGAGACAAAGAAGACAGATAAGTTCTCATCCCTCCAGCAGCAATCAGTGATCATGAATATTTATGATGAGGAGAATAATTAACAGTAAACCAGATTGTGTTGGCAAGGTGTTTGAGTCATTGTAAATAAAACAAATTAGACAATGAAAAAGCACCAACTGTTAGGAAAAGGCAACAGAAAAACTCTGGTTCCACTCAATCGTCAAAGACATTCATGTTTTGTTTCCACACAGAGTGTTCTATCTTTTCCTGCTTGAGGAAAATCTGTAAATGAGATGCGGCCGCCTGTCTATATTGTGCACAGGCAGGGTGTTATTACACTGTATCATGACCAAACCAGTTAAAAGGTAGATCCCACTGGTAGAGATAAGACTGGTGGGCAATCCCAAGAAAAAGAAAAGATTCGCTGTGTGATGGTGCCATGTCTAGACGGAATGTCATGAAAAACCTTGTTAATCCTCCTGGGGTCCCAACGAGAAGTGGGGTGGTTGTCCCATCAGACGGTCAGTTCCCAAAACCACATATACACACACACACACACACACACAAAAATAACCCCTCATAAAAGCGCACAAGGTGTCATGTGACCTAGATTATGATGCATTGGGTTCTCTTTCGAGGAGGAAATGGGAATTAATTGTTTTTTTAAACACACTACCATCATTTTGAACATAACTTTATGCGTGTATCACCTGCAGAAGTGTTGGTTGGTGGTCCACTGGGGCAACAAGAACCACCAGCCTGTTGTCAATGCTCAGGTAGCCAAAGACGTCACACTGTGGCACGGAGATGTGGAGCCGGAGGATCTGCAGGACGTCGTAGACAGCCACCGGCTGGTTCTTGTTCAGCTGCACAGAACGGACCACCAAACACTCAAACTGTCATCAAGCCCTTTCCTCTGAAAATGTCAGCTCAGAAGTGCTGTCTATAAAGTGTGTTCTTGCTCCACATTTATTTGCTAGAAGCCTTTTCAGAGAAAAAAACAAAAAACAAAAAACACTCACTATTCATTAAGCTAAACAAAGCCAGGAATGTTTCAAAAAATATTTTCATAAGTCTTTCATGATTTAAGCTCTTTAGTCTGTAATCAGAGCAAACAAAAAATAATCTGAAATCATTATAAGAAATTATTAATATGAGAAACTAATATGAGTAAAGTAGCTTTACAAGATTTGAGAATAAATGAAATGCTAAGTGGCCAGCATGTCCACGGTGTTGTAGTAAGGCTGAGGTCTGCTTCTCTATACAGACATAGTCAGTTGACCAGCTAAGCTGAACCTTGTTCACTGGAACTCTCTTCAAGTAAGAGGCGTCCGGGCTGAGATAAAATAGCCTAACAACTTAAATTTTATGTTTATTGTGCATTTCATTGTACTGGCATTAATGCTTCAAACTGTTCCAAGTGTAGCAGGCTTATAGCATGCTGCAGGTGAGACTATTCAACAATTCAAACTGAATTTAAGGTTGATCACTGATTAGGGCCAACGGCCTAAACATCTTTTATAAGGGCACTAACTGATGAGACATTTTGTGTGTTTACTCCATTTTACCTGTTTCCCTTCTAGCTGAGTTACTGGTAACTAGAGATATTTTAGGACTCCTTTATTCCATACTGTATGCAGATTGTATGCATACTGTATCCAGGTATATATATATATATATATATATATATATATATATATATATATATATATATATATATATATATATATATATATATTTCTTCTGTTGTTTATCCACCACCACAATGTCCGGTTCTGGATTCCATTCCCGGCCCGGAGTCTTTCTGCATGGAGTTTGCCTATTCTCCCCTCCAAATTCTCCCTAGGTGTGAGTGAATGTGAGTGAGTGAATGTGAAAAAAATTCCTTTCTCACCCTCCGCGGCTGGTTTCTCTCATCCTTAGGGATGATTACTGGTAAGGTCGGGTCCTGTATCAGAGGCCTCCGAGCTTGAGGGTTCTGTGCAGTATGTTGGCTGTGTTGCACATTTCTGGACTGAGATGTCTGATGTTGTTCCTGGGATCTGTTTGAGCAACAGCTCCAGTTTGGGGGTGACTGCCCCGAGGGCCCCGATGACCACAGGCACCACTGTATTCTTCACCTTCCAGGCCTTTTCCAGTTCCTCTCTGAGGCCCTGGTATTTCTCCAGTTTCTCATGCTCCTTTTTCCTGATGTTGTGGTCACTTGGTATTGCTACATCCACCACAACGGCTTTCCTCTGTTCTTTATCCACCACCGGTTGGTTGTCCGGTTGGTTCGCCATTACCATCTTGTCTGTCTGGATCTGGAAGTCCCACAGGATCTTAGCTCGGTCATTCTCCACCACCGTTGGAGGTGTTCCCCACTTCGATCTCGGGGCTTCCAGTCCATATTCTGCACAGATGTTCCTGTACACTATGCCCGTCACTTGGTTATGTCGTTCCATGTACGCTTTCCCTGCCAGCATCTTGCACCCTGCTGTTATGTGCTGGACTGTCTGAGGGGCCTCCTTGCACAACCTACACCTTGGGTCTTGTCTGGTGTGGTAGATCTGAGCTTCTGATATCAGCCACTTCAGTTATTTGTCGGTGGTACATCCCATGTAAGGGCTTGTCTTCCCATGATGGTTCCTCCAGCACCTCATCCTCTGTTCCCCATTGCCTGAGACATTCGCTG